GAGCGGGCCTGAGACCGAGACCGAGACAAGACCAGGACCAGACCGGGACCAGACCGGAGGCTCAGAGCCCACGGCAGGACCGGAGCTCGAAGCTGAGGCTCGGACCCCGTGGAGGCTCGGAGTCAAAGCTTGGAGTCAAAGCTCGAAGTCCACCCTGGTCCCGCCTGGTCCGGTCTGGTCCCGGTCTCAGTCCCGCTCTGGTCTCGGTCTGGTCTAGGACCTGGATCAGTCCTGATTCAGTCCATATGCGGTGCAAAAGTTCGGCATCGCAGTCACGGAAGTCACGTAAACGGGAAACGGCCGTTATCCGTTTTTTTCCATTCTTCATTTAAACACAAAATCGAAAACATTTTGGTTTTGGAGACAAATAACGAAGGAAAACTGTTGTTTTTTCGTTTTCTTATTTTTGGTTTTATATTGAAAAACAAATGAACGAATGACACACAGATTGTCGAATCTGGCGTCGACGCGGCACGTCTTGAGCGTTTTGGCATTGGCGGTCTAAATGCGCGTCCAAGGCGTCAGCATCAAGAAGTTGAAAATGCTTAACTTTTCACGGCACATGCGCCGCGTCAACCAATCAGGGACGAGTATCCAGAGACACAGCCACGTTATTATCAGGAAGAAAAACCCGAGAACCAGAACGAGAACCACAAACATGAACGGAGAATAAATATATACACCACAATCACCGAGACGATCACGAGGACTACACCAGGACTAAACAAGGACTAGACCAGGACTAGACCGAGACCAAACAAGGACTAGACCCTGAATAGACCGAGACTAAACCTGGGACTAAACCGTGATTAGCCTGGGACTAGACCAGGACTGATCCAGTGTCATTAGTGGAGTATAAATATAAACACGCTCCAGTCGTCGAGTCGATTTCCTTCGCTGATGTTTTATGTCATAAAAACACTAAAGTCTCTCAGTCTGGTCTGACATCGTTTCAGGAAAAGACCAGGACCGGGCTCTTGTTTCCAGGTAAACGTCAGGGGCGTCAAGTATTTTTCTCCCGTTCGTCCACAGAGTCAAAGACACGAGCGTCGGGGGCGTCTAAACTCAAATGCAAAGCTTCCAAATAGAGACGTCAAGGCGTTTTTTGAGGCTTTGGTGTGAACGGCCCTTGTGTCTGCAGGTCTTCTCTATCTTCTCTATCTTCTCTATCTTCTCTATCTTCTCTATCTTCTCTATCCACACAGATCTGAGCACATTTGTTTACGTTTTACAGAAACAAAACTTAAAACCACATGACTCATTTGCATAAACTAAACGCTCACCAGTGACATGAGTGAAGTCAGTGCTGTACGAAGATGTAAGAAATGTTTAGAGACGATGCGGTGCTGTGGAGGCTGGGGTGAGGCTGGATGGTGGGAGGTTCTCTGCAAAACTGACAAGAACTGGCCACATTCACGAAAGGTTAAATTCACTGAACGATATTTCTGTGATGTTACAATTTTGTTAAACTCGTCTGTGCGTCGGCAATTTCCCATCGTCCCTTTGCAACCCGACCTGGAATCCTGACTGGACGACTGGTGACCTGGAGGTGTTTCCTCTACACCTCCACACCTGAAGCTGCACCTCTGATATTTAAAGAGTTTGTGGACACCTGTTTGGGCTGCTGGTCTTTGAGTCTGGTCTGTCATTTTGTGTGTTTGTTTGTGTCTCTGTCAAGTCTCAGCGTTTGACTCGGTAAAAGAAGCACTAGTGTCGGATTTAATGTGTTAACTGAACGTGTCTCTCGTTTTCTCGTTCTGAGACATTTGTTTTCAGGACTTTGTGTTTGTCTGTTAAATCTTTTGTTGTATTCTTAGTTTTCTTAGTTAAAATTGCCGTTTTCTACACTTTAGTTTAAAACCGTGTAAATTACCACTTCTGTAAATATTTTAGATCCACTTTTTTGTTTAATTTAACTTGAACATTCCTGTTAATTAAAGTTCCATCTGATGTAAAATAATTCTGTTCACGTTGTTTCTTCTGCACATAAACACAGTTTGGTTCTGGAACATCTGTTACACAATAGTTCTGAAATCTTACTGATTTCTTGGCAGTGTCGGGGAGTAACAGATTACATGTACCGGAGTAATCAGAGTACAAATTATAATAGTAACTGTATTCAGTTACAGTTACTGTTTCAGTGAGTGGTAATTGGATTACAGTTACTTTGTTGAAATAAATGGATTACACAGAGGGATTTTCGGTTTTCACATTTTGGGCTAAACCAGGACTAAAACCAGAACTAAAACCAGGTCTAAACCAGGACTAAAACCAGAACTAAACCAGGTCTAAACTAGATCTAAACCAGGTCTAAACCAGACTAAAACCAGGTCTAAACCAGGACTAAACCAGGTCTAAACTAGACTCTAAACCAGGTCTAAACAGATCTAAAACCAGGTCTAAACCAGGACTAAAACCAGGTCTAAACCAGGTCTAAAACCAGGTCTAAACCAGGACTAAAACCAGACTAAACCAGGAAACTAAAACCAGGTCTAAACCAGGACTAAAACCAGGACTAAACTAGGTCTAAACCAGGACTAAAACCAGAACTAAAACCAGGTCTAAACTAGACTCTAAACCAGGTCTAAACCAGGACTAAACCAGGTCTAAAACCAGATCTAAACCAGGTCTAAACCAGGACTAAAACCAGGTCTAAAACAGGACTAAAACAGGATTTAACAGGACTAAATCCTGCTATGCGCAGACCATGTCTTTCTTCTTCTTCTATCAATAATATTTTTAATTTGGTTCAGTAAAGTCTGGACTTTTTATTGTTCATTTTTCTGTAAGGGGATTAATCATTTTTAATTTTAAAAGTCACCTTCCCAACACTGTTTCTTGGAGACAGTCACAGACCAGGAACTATGAAAGTCCGACTATCTGCTGCGTCGTCGTCACGTGGGAGGGCGGCAGAAATACACTGCAATTTGTTAAAAAAAACACAGAAACAATCTAAAAAAAACACTTCAGTGACAAATCCAAGGCCCACACATCAGTCTGAGAAGGTAGAAAGATGTGAAAAGTTGATTTTGCGTGAGATGGGCTCTTTAAATTACTTTATATTGATACGATTTTTCCTCCTTGTTCCTCGTCGTTACTCCCCCAGTCCCAAACAGAGCTCGGTCGTAACAATGATAAATCTGTCGTCTCGGTCTGAGTCAGAGTCGGAGCCGGAGCTGAGATGGTCTGACCTGTGGAGACCTGAGCGCGAGACTGGAAAATGAAATTGGTTTGAGCTGAAGCACAATCACAAATACAAGTCAAATACAAAAGCTGTGACACTGTCGGCTGCTGAAACAGAACTCGTTGTGCGTAGACCAGTGGTGCTCAATACGTCGATCGCCAAGGTCGTGTGGGTAGATCGCCGTGTCTCGTCTCGGACTCGCGTTTGGACTCGGTCTTGTCTCTCACTCGAGGTCTGACACTCAACAAGTGTGATCATATTTCATTCCGGCCGCTGCTGTTGGTAATAAACTTGTAGCGGGTGCAGGAGCGTGTGGGGCGTCTCAGTGCAGCCTGTGCGCTCATTTGAAACCCGCGGAGACTCTACGGCGCATCACAAACACACACGCTCCCTATGCACGGCTCGTCTGCGACAGCGTGTGCCCTCGTGTACCAGCGTGCATCACAGGGCAGGTTCAACTTCCTAAACATCCTACCTGTCCATCTGCCTCACGTCAGCACGCCGCCCCTCGCCTTTTCACGCTCTCGCTCCTTCCTGCGTACAGCCAACACAAGCCCCTCCCACAGTGCGGCTGATTAGAAGAGCAAGACCAAACGTGAAGCAAAAACCAGTCTAAATTTGTGTTCCAGTGTTGGCACAAAGCAGGTCTACAGCATAGAGCGGATCTACAGAACAGACCTACTGCCACATTTGGCTGAAGTTTGTCTAACAAAAGTGACAAATGCATCTGTGTTTGTCACGATGTGCGTTTGGTTTGGTAAACGTGCAGAGGCTGGTAAATATCACTGCAAAACCAGAAAAGAATGAAACTCCAGTTTGGAACTTTAAAAAACAGGTTTAAAAATCTTCCTTCACTTTTTTCACAGTTTTGTGTAAAGTGCCAGAGGAAGTTCTCTTAAAGAAGAGGTTCTCAAACTGTGGGGGAGGGTCCAAAAAAGGGGCACAGAGTGTTTCAGTGCAGTTTGTTTGGCTTTGATTTAGGTCGATCATTTTGACTTGGTCATTTTGTAAGTAGCTCACATGATGAAAAAGTGTGAACACCTCTGATGTAGAGTGATGCTTGTTGTTTGGTGTTTCCTGTTAGGTGCAGGACTGGTGTTGACCTGGTAGTGTATTTGATATTATATGAAACCTGCATTATATTTGAAGACTCGTTTATGATCCAAATAATACAAAATCTTATCAAATAAAAATGAGATGACAGAAGCCGCACAGCCTCTCTCCCCCGGCACAGCTGTGCATGTTCAGAATTACTGTTGAAGTTTCTTGTCTAGAAATATTTTATCGACCGACGCGTCAGTTTTTAGACCCTTCGTCTGCTTCAGTCGCGCCGTCGCTGGAAGAAATCTCCAAGAATCGCCTCAGTTTGTCTTCGCTCCTTTTCTCCTTCTCTTCTTCTTTCAGCGACCTCAAAAACGGATTTTCTTTCGCGGCGAACTGGTCGTGGATTCTTGTCCGACATCGTGACAAACTTTGTACGAACTGCGAGGAAGCGACAGTTTGAAAAAGCCGCATAAATCACATAATCCCCGAGCGCCGACGAGTCAGTTACACTAGAAACGTAGGGAGTTTGATTGACAACCTAACAGCCAATAGAAAATGAGGGAGTCCTCGTTTTCTATTGGCTGATGTTTATCTGGCCTCAACACGTCCACAGTTGATAGATTTTTGTTCTTTTTTTTTTTGTTGTCATCATAATTACAAAGCTGCTGCGTCTCTGTAATTGTATTTTAAACTTTCACTGACAATTTGAAACTAAAAAAAAAATCCTCCGTACAACCTTTAAAACTAGAATCGACTTTGGTTTGTTCCTCACCAGGGAGCAGAGTTTCTCCACGGCCTCCAGCAGAAGCTCCTGGTGACCCATCTTATGAACCCCGAGTCGCTCCAGGTCCAGAGACGTCAGCTGCAGCAGGTCCACCCCACTCAGCTTCCACTCAGACACAGGATACAGCTGCAGCGGAGCGTCCAGACCTGGAACACACACACACACAGAGTTACACACACAGAGACACACACACACACACAGATACACACACACACACACACACACACACACAGAGACACACACACACACAGAGAGAGAGTTACACACACAGAGACACACACACACACACACACAGAGAGACACACACAGATACACACACACAGACACACACACACACACATACACACACAGAGACACACACACAGAGTTACACACACAGAGACACACACACACACACACGAGACACACACACACACAGAGAGAGAGTTACACACACAGATACACACACACACACACAGAGACACACACACACACACACACAGAGAGAGAGTTACACACACAGATACACACACACACACACACACAGAGTTACACACACACAGATACACACACACACACACACACATACACACACACACACACACACACACACACAGAGACACACACACACACACAGAGTTACACACACAGAGACACACACACACACACACACAGACACACACACAGAGTTACACACACACAGATACACACACACACACACACACAGAGACACACACACACACACAGAGACACACACACACACACACACACAGAGAGAGTTACACACACACACAGAGACACACACACACACACACACACACAGAGTTACACACACACACACAGAGAGAGAGTTACACACACAGAGACACACACACACACAGACACACACACACACACACACAGAGACACACACACACACACAGACACACACACACACACAGAGTTACACACACAGATACACACACACACACAGAGACACACACACACACACAGACAGACACAGTTACACACACAGAGTTACACACACAGACACACAGAGACACACACACACAGAGTCACACACACACACAGAGACACACACACAGAGTTACACACACACACACACAGATACACACACACACACACAGAGTTACACACACAGACACACAGAGACACACACACACACACACACACACACACACACAGAGTTACACACACACACACACACAGAGACACACACACAGAGTTACACACACACACACACAGATACACACACACACACACACAGAGTTACACACACAGACACACAGAGACACACACACACACACACACACACAGAGTTACACACACACACACACACACACAGAGTTACACACACAGACACACACAGAGACACACACACACACAGACACACACACACACAGAGTTACACACAGACACACACACACAGAGTTACACACACAGACACACAGAGACACACACACACAGAGACACACAGTTACACACACAGAGACACACACACACACACAGAGACATACACACACAGACACACACACACACACACACACACACAGAGTTACACACACAGACACACACAGACACACACACACACAGAGACACACACACAGACACACACACACAGAGACACACACACAGAGACACACACACACACACACACACAGAGAGACACACACACACACACGACACACAACACACACACACACACACACACACACACAGACACACACAGACACACACACACACAGGGACACACACACACACACACACACACGGGGACACACACACACACACACACACACACACACACACACACACACACACACACACACACGACACACACACACACACACACACAGACACACACACACACACACACAGACACACACACACACACACACACACACACACAGGGGACACACACACACACACAGACACACACACACACACACACACACACAGCTGCAGTGAGCCTCTGGTTTTACGGCGGAGGCAGAGTCACAAGTTCAGACATGATGTTGAGCAGCAGGATCGAGCTGCAAAACAAAACTCTGAGCTCCTCCACAAAACTTCACCTGAATCTGATCGACCGCGTTTGATTCACAACTTCAACTTCACTTTGACTGACGCTTTTTGAAATAACTCAGAGCTGTTGGTGTTTTTGTAATCGCTGAATCATAATAATAATGAAAAACGCCGTGGGACTTTTACAGCAGCACACGACTAAAAACAATCTCTAAAACATTTGACTTTATCTGAGTCGATTTAACTTGACAAGTCACATGATCTGCAAATGGAAGAAGAGTTTTTTTCTTAATTGAAGCAACGTTCGGTTTTGTTTCTTATTCTTAAGTGCAAAAAGTTGTGGTTTTTTCAGATTTTAAGTGCAAAAAAGTTATTGTGTTTCTTATTTTGAGCGCGTAAAGGTGTTGTTTTTCTTATTTTATCTACAAAAAGTTGTCAGGTTTTTATTTTAAGCGCAGAAAGTAGTTTTTTTTTTTAATTAAAAGTACAAAAGATTGTTGTTTTTCTGATTTTAAACTGCAAAAAGTTGTTGTTTTTCTGACTATAAGTACAAAAGGTTGTCATTTTTCTTATTTAACATACAAAAAAGTTGTTGTTTTTCTGAATTTGCATGCAAAATGTTGTTATTTTTCTTATTTTAAACTGCAGAAAAGTTATTGTTTTTCCTATTTTAAGTACAAAAAGTTATAGTTTTTCTTATTTTACACTGCAAAACGTTATTTTGCTGACTGTAAGTCGTTTTTCTGATTTTTAAGCGCAAAAACTTATTGTTTTTCTTATTTTAAGTGCAAAACGTTGTTGTTTTATCTTATTTTACATACAAAAAGTTATTGTTTTTCTGATTTTAAGTACAGAAAAGTTGTTTTTTTCTTATTTTAAGTACAAACTGTTGTCATTTTTCTTATTTTATATACAAAAGTTGTGTTCTTTCTTGTTTTAAGTGCAAAAAGTAGTTGTTTTTTCTTATTTTAAGTTTTTTAAAAAGTTGTTTTTCTTCTTTAAGTGCAAAAATTGTGTTTTTTTTCTTATATTAAGTACAAAAAGTTGTTGTTTATCTTTTTTATTAAGTGCAGAAGGTTGTTGTTTTTCTTATTTTACACACAAAAAGTAGTTTTTTCAGATTTTAGGCACAAATAGTTGTTGTTTTTCTGATTATAAGTACAAAAGGTTGTCATTTTTTCAGATTTTAAGCACAAAAAGTTGTTGTTTTTCTGATTTTAAGTGTAGTACTTTGTATTTTCATATTTGAAGTGCTTCAGTCTCGTTCCACCGGCAGATCGTTTTACCTGTCAGGTGAAATTGACTCAAATCATGATCACTCCGACACACAGACGCAGTTTGACACTGGAGTCGACGCTCTGACCTGTTCTGTGATTAAATCTGGGAATTACACAAACTTTGTCCCTGGAATGTTTCATTCTAGTTTAAATCTCTGCGTCGTAGTTGTAATAAACACGATATTCAAACATATTATAATGTGTTTAATCACATTTATGACTGAGAGTTTTTGTTCATTCATTGTTCTTTGCTGTTGTTGTATTTGTTCTTGGTGCTTGTGTGGGACAATCAGATTGATCAGATTTAGAAATGTTCAGGTTTGTAATAGTTTTGAGGCTGTAAATGTTGAATATGTCACTGTGACACTTCAGGCCTGTGGCGTTTGTGTCTTTACAGTTGGACACGAGCTGCTGTGTCTCTGTGGTTCTGGTTCTGCTTTTACACTCTGAGCTTCACCTGAGTGAGTTTTGTCCTGTTGGAGCCGGACAGACGTGACCTGCTCCGAGTCTCACTTTTATAACAGTGTAAGAACAGCACACGGAAGCGCACGCGGGGCTCACTCCTCCTGCTGCTTTTCTCTTTCCTCAACAGGATTTTCTTAAACTGTGATTCGACTTAAACTTGATAAAAGTAAAGTTCTTGCTTCACTTCAGCGCGTCTTTCGAAGAAAATAAAAGCATGACGTGACACTGCGGCTGTTTGTTGACACTGACCTGGAGCCTCTTCCTCATTCCGCACCTTTCACTTCCAAGAGGATTTACGCGTGAGCCTCTTCTATTTCTGTCCCGCATAAAGACTCGCTGCGCGCGTCTATCCCCTTAAACGCGGCGGAAATACCATGTCGCTCACCTTGGAGCCACTGCATGACCCGCTCCTCGCTCCACGTCGAGACTGGCTCCATGCTCGGAGAGCTGCTCGAGTCGCTGGTCCAGCTGCCAGCCTTCCTCGCGAACTTCTACCTCTCCGGGCTCCTGGAGGAGGAGAGGGGGAACGAGGAAGAGGAGGGCTGGGACTCGGACTCTGACGAGTGGCACTCCTTCTCTCAGGCAGCGCAGGTAAGCGCCCCCTCCTCCGTAGGTAGCCCGGGTATGTGCCCGGGTATGTGCCCGGGTATGTGCCCGGGTATGTGCCCGGGTATGTGCCCGGGTATGTGCCCCCTCCTTCCCTCCTCGGCCGCAGGTTAGTCCCAATAATCGCCCCCTCCTCTGTAGGGAGTCCGGGTGTGTGACCCTCCTCTGGCGCAGGTAGGCGCCCGGCTCCAGGTGTCTCTGAGCCAATCGCAGAGCTGTGAGACACCCCTCCCTCCCTCGCGCTCACAGAAACCGCCCCCAAACACGAGCGTACCTGCGCACGCGGGGTGACGCGCTGCGCCTGCGCGCGCCGTACGTCAGGTCACGTAGACCTGAGCGCGTCAGTAAAACAGTAAACAAGTTTCCTTTTTGAAAAGACCCGTGTCAAACTCACAGGACTTGATTTTAGAAAGTTTTAAAGTTGACAGAGTCAATATTTACTTCAGCCCAGTTGAAAAATGCAAAACTGTTTTATAGCCAGTGCTTAAAAGAAGATTATAAAACATTATAAAACATTTATAAAACATTATAAAACATGAGACTTTATGCTCAAGAACTGAGCAACAAAATGTGATCAAACACAAACATCTGAAAACAGAAACTGTTCTTCAACAGTTTTATTAAAACCAAAAGGACGGCGGTGATTCTCACAGACTTTAGTCCTGGTTCCTCTGTGCAGCTGCTGTTTGTCCTGGAGGAAGAGTTGACCTGGAGTCTCTTTGTGGTTGTTAAAATAAACCTTATAAATAAATGACCACCGACTCTGATGTAAAACAAATAAACAAATATTCAGATCAAATCACACGTGGAAACACACAAGACTCACTCCTGTTACTGCAGTAACTGTCCTTTCCTCTAACGACAGCACAGAGTCTGAGAGCAGCTCTGACTCTGTGCATTCAGCATATTATACAGTATTACAGTATATATATATATATATATATATATATATATATATATATATATATATATATATATATATATATATATATATATATATATATATATATGTTGTGTGTGTGTGTATATATATATATACACACACAGACACACACACACACACATACAGACACACACACACACACACAGACACAGACACACACTGCAGTGAGTCTTCGTCCGTTTGATTGGTCGGCGGCTGCAGGTCATGTGACCTGAGGCTTAACAGACTTAACTCGACTGACTCAGTATTTATTTATTCACAGGTGGATTTATGGCTCCAAAATATGTAGAAAAACAGACGCGTCTCCACAGATCTGACCTGGGGCTTGGTCTGGTTTGGTCTCCATGACAATAGAAAAGTTTAATGTTGTACTGTGGAACATTCCAGACAAAGGAACAACGTGACCACAATAAAATATCAGACGGATCCTTCACCAGAAAAGTGACATGATGCAGCTTTAAGATTTGATGTCATCAGGTCGTTTTACTGCCTTGAAGAGATGAACTAAGATGTTTAAATGAACTAAGATGTTTAAATGAACTAAGATGTTTAAATGAACTAAGATGTTTAAATGAACTAAGATGTTTAAATGAATAAGAAAATGAATAAGATGTTTAAATGAATTAAGATGTTTAAATGAACTAAGATGTTTAAATGAACTAAGATGTTTAAATGAACTAAGATGTTTAAATGAACTAAGATGTTTAAATGAACTAAATGTGTAAATGAACTAAGTTTAATGAATGATGTTAAATGAATAAGATGTTTAAATGAATTAAATGATTAAGATGTTTAAATGATGTTAAATGAACTAAGATGTTTAAATGAACTAAGATGTTTAAATGAACTAAGATGTTTAAATGAATTAAGATGTTTGAAGTGACGTGTTGTTATAAATCGTCATGACTCCCGCAGCAGGAGGAGGAACAGTTTCTGGATGAACCTCGTGTCTGAAATATTCCAGATCCAGGAACAGTCGGCGTGAGTTTCCTGAGGACAGAGAAACATTTAACCTGCACATGACCACAGTGTCATTATTATTATTATTATTATTAAACTCAACCGAGTAACAGATTACATGTACCAGAGTAATCAGAGTACAAATGATGAGTAACTGTAATTTCAGTTCAGTGAGTGGTAATTGGATTACAGTTACTTTGTTGAAATAAATGGATTACATGGTGGTATTTTCCTGTTTTCTAATTTTGGGCTAAATCCTTTTTTTTTTTTTTCCGGAATTCCACTCATTGTCGGAACTAAAACCAGGTCTAAACAGACTAAACCAGGATTAAACCAGGTCAAACCAGACTAAACCAGGACTAAAACCAGGTCTAAACCAGGTCTAAACCAGACTAAAAGACTAAACCAGGACTAAACAGGACTAAAATAAACCAGGACTAAACCAGGTCTAAAACTAAACCAGGACTAAAACCAGGCTAAACCAGGACTTAAACCAGGTCTAAACCAGGACTAAACCAGGTAAACCAGGACTAAACCAGGACTAAACCAGGTCTAAACCAAGACTAAACCAGGTCTAAACCAGGTCTAAACCAGGACTAAAAACCAGGTCTAAACCAGGACTAAACCAGGACTAAACCAGGTCTAAACCAGTCTAAACCAGGACTAAACCAGGACTAAACCAGGAAACTAAACCAAGACTAAACCAGGACTAAACCAAACTAAACCAGACTAAACTAAACCCAGGTCTAAACCAGTCTAAAACCAGGACTAAACCAGACTAAACCAGGACTAAACCAGGTCCAGGACTAAACCAAGGACTAACCAGGACTAAACCAGGACTAAACCAAGACTAAACCAGGTCTAAACCAGGTAAACCAGGTCTAAACCAGGACTAAACCAGGTTCTAAACCAGGACTAAACCAGGTCTAAACCAGACTAAACCAGGACTAAACCAGGTCTAAACCAGGACTAAACCAGGACTAAACCAGGACTAAACCAGGTCTAAACCAAGGACTAAACCAGGACTAAAACCAGGACTAAACCAGGACTAAACCAGGTCTAAACCAGGTCTAAACAGGACTAAACCAGGACTAAACCAGATTAAACCAGGTCTAAACAGGAAAACCAGGTCTAAAAACCAGGGACTAAACCAGGTCTAAACCAGGTCTAAACCAGGTCTACTAAACCAGGACTAAACCACCAGGATTAAACCAAGACTAAACCAGGTTTAAACCAGGACTAAACCAGGTCTAAACCAGGTTCTAAACCAGGACTAAACTAGGACTAAAACTGGACTAAAACTGGACTAAATCCTGCTGTGTGGACGTGTTTCTTCTTCTCTATCAATAATATTTTTATTTGGTTCAGTAAATCTGGACTTTTTATTTTCTTTTATCAGACAAAACTTCTTATGTGAAGATTTCCTCGTCTTTGTTTCTCTACAGTAAATCAAGTAATCCAAAGTAATCAGATTACATTACTCACTTTAAGTAATTTAATAGATTATGTTGCAAACTACATTTTGTTGTGTGTAATCTGTAATCTGTAGGGGATTACATGTTAAAAGTGGTTCTTGTGAGGCAGCAGGTTCTTGTCTTGGTCAGAGTTTTCCCAGGGCCCCGGGCCCCGCCCCTCGCTCAGACCTGCAGAGCCAATAATCCTCCTCCAGGTCCAAAGTCTGAGCTCGCAGGAATTTGATTAAAAAAAAAGAAATCCTCCCTCCCTCCATCTTCTCTCCCTTTTCCTGAGCGGCTCCAGCGTCTCACCACCTTCACTTTAGTTTAGTTTAGTTTATTTATTTAATCAAAAACAAGATGAATCAGGATTATTCTTCGCTTTAAGTTGTTGAAGCAAGTTATTTTATTATTTATTTATGTTTATAACGAACGTCACAGTCGCATTAGACGAACCAGATGTGTTTTTTTGAGTGTTTTAGTTTTCAACACCTGTGAGAGAAAAAATATAAAATACATGAATAAAAACAGACAAAAATACGTTAGTTATAAACAGAAAAGAAATACACAGCGTTATTACATTTTCAGTGAGTGTATTTTTGGTCAGAAACTTACAATAATTTAAATTTACGTTGAAATTTGTCGCTGTTTGTTTCCAGTTTTCATTCATTCGTTTTATTAGTTTGAGCAAAGTACAACAAAATCAACAAGAATAACACAAAAAACACAAAAAAACAGGCAGCTTCCAAAAGTAATAATGTGAGTAACTTTTATTTCCCGACTCCTCAGAAGAGAACAGTGTTCATTTTGGTTTGATTTGACTTTTTTTTCTTTTTTTAAGAAGATGGCCTCAACGTTTAACAAATGTCAGGATTCTCAATATCTGGATTTTTTCCCCGAGTCTTTGTTGCAACAAAAATGTTTCTCTCAAAAATAAAGACGACACTAAATTAAAACACCAGCAGTGATTTTATCTACAATAAAACAAAGAATCACACCACGTTCTGTCATATCATATTTATAATACAACTTTTTTAAATCATGACAACTGTGAATGTAACTAATGAATTTTTGTGAAAAATATTATGTGAAGAATCGATTCGGATCCATTTTGAATCAGTTTGAGAATTGTGCAGTGAAGCATCACCATTTGTCACTGAATCGATTTGTTCTTCCAGCGCGAGTTTCTTCTGAACATTGATCGTGGAACTTTACAAATATTTACATACAGCAAAATAAATGACACACTGTGTGTACGAAATCTAATTTGTAAAATGAACTTGTGAATTTTGTTCACTGACAACGGCTTTAAAATATTCAGATTCTCGGCCACTAGTCCCACTGAACAAGTTCAGGACAAATGAGATCATCTTGATTATTCTACAAATGCTTAACATCTTATATTATTAGGTTCTTTTTTTCATACCTGACAGTTTGGACTGTCTATGTCACAGGTGTCAAACATACGGCCCGGGGGCCAGATCCGGCCCTCCAAGACCTTTAATCTGGCCCTTGGCTGATTTTGTACTAAAATATTTTAATTATATTTTTCTATTAAAATCTTGTTAATTTTTCTGTGGTGTTTATCACAGCAGCGTCTCCAGCGTCTCTGTACGTGGCCCCTCCCACCAGAGCAGCACAAATGAAGACTTGTCTCTTTCCAAACGCTCTTAAAGGACGATCGTTTTGACTGTTGACCGTGACACCCTCATCAGAAAAATGTCCAACATGAGAAAAGTGGAGCCGAGTGCAGGATTTTACAACAAAAATGGACTTATTCCTATTTACAAACAAGTTCATGTTAAAACATTGTGTTGAAATTGTATTTTTCTTAAAGTTTCAGGTTG